GTAGCCCTTCCTATGACTCGGTAGCCATGAAGTAGCCCTCAGCCTTAAAAAGGTTGGTGACCCCTGCCCTAAAGTATCATCAGACTTATAAAAACTGTCAAAAACAATGCCATCAATGGTGACAAGCGTCCTATTTTTTTTATTTTGTTTGTCTATAGGGTGCTTCATTCAAATCTGTTTAGTTACATTTAAGCAGCAGACACTGAGGAAACAAACAAGCCAGTCTCAATCTCATTCCTCAAATGGTTTAAATTAACTTGGTAGAGCAATTTCCAGCTAAATTAAAGCCAATTTAAGAACTAAGTTGCTTTTCATCCCAACAGAGATTTAAACAGAGAGTCTATGATCGCTAAAGACAAGGACAAAAACAAGTAAACCAGTTCATTTTTTAAGGATTTTCCAGTAATTATAAAGTACTACATAGTAGACCAACTGTGCCCCATTTTTGTCAGGTTTACTTACCAATCACACTTTTAGCAAAGGAGGCACTTTTGAGAGTGGCAAGCCCCAGATCTCCGATCTTAACAGAGCCAGTGGGGCCGGTAATGAAGATGTTGTCACATTTGAGGTCCCGGTGGATGATGGGGGGAGTGCGTGTGTGCAGGAAGTGAAGCCCTTTGAGGATCTGGCGACTCCAGCGTTGCAGCAGCTTTAACTTCATCTCCTTAAACCTCTTTAAGTACCTAAAACACAGATAGAGATGATTCATATGAGCCTTTAAACATAAGACAGCGAGAAGCGGAAGCTTTTCAGAGCCATAAAGTACTTTACCCTGCATTTTGACAGCCAAAAGAAATGTTTAAACTGAGCAAGTTTTTGCAGAATTGTAATACAAGAAAATGAAAAGTAGAGCTATTCTCTGCTTTTAACCTACTTTAAAAGATGAGAACAAGCTGTCAGGCATGTCACGACTATCTTTCCTACCATGCTAGACGAGTGTTAGATAGAAAGCAAATATTTGTAATCTGATACAAGAAGAATGAAGATGTGGAATGAGAGGAAAGGGATGCAGATACTCACGTCTTGAGCGTTCCGGAGGTCATGAGTTCAGTTACGAGGATAATGCACTTGTGGCCCTTCATTGTTGACTTCCAGGAGTCATGGAAACGTACGATGTTGGGATGCTGCAGGCCTTTCAGCATCTCCACTTCCTCGCTGAAACGCTGTCGCTCTGCTTTGGTTAGCTTACGTGTCTACAGAGAGAGGGAAAGAAAAAAAACACAAAACAAAGGCTTTGATTCTCTTGCATAACTTTTTATGCTAGAATTATTCTTCATCCTGTACAGAACCAGAGGAAACTAAATATAGAATCTCTGCTAAAAAGGAACATTTATTTCCAATATCTAATCTTCACCTTGAGAGCACAAAACCAGACTTAGCCCTGCGACTATTATTGAAAAAAATATGGCTAAATTAAGAAAATAAAGTACACCCTATGTTTTAGTGCTTGTTAAACCCCCAGCAGCAATAGCCTCAAGAGGTTTCTGCGTGACTTTATCCATCTTATGTCCCAATTAAGACATTTTATTTTTAGAAAGTTTTAAAATGTTGTCTAATTTGTCCAGGTTTTTAAGTTCAGATAATCCAGTTGAGATTTGGAATTGGCTCCATGTGAGGCATTCAGTGGTAGAATTGCTGCAATGACTCAACCTATATATTAATGTAGGTTGAGTCAAGCTTTTGCTGTTGAATTTTCAAATAGGAGTTTGACATAAAAAAAAAAAAAAATGGTAGACAAGCAGAGTGGCGCAGCTATGGGGCCCATAACCCAGAGCTCGGTGGATCAAAACCACCCTCTGCCATAAATAGCCGTTTGGGAGTGGCAGCCTAGTGGTTACGGCATAGAATCATTAAGGTTCTGAGTTCGAGCCCCACTCCCAGACTGCAACTCTGGCTCTCTGAGCAAGACTCTTAACCAAGCAGTCCTTGCCCCACGATCGCAGCCCACCGCTCCCCAAGGGGATGGGTTAAATGCAGAGGTAAAATTCTCCAATGTGAGATCAATAAAGCTCAATAATTCATGGAGTTGTGGTTTAGAAAGAGAAGTCAGACCCATAAGTTGATATGAGGTCACATCAATCCAAATGTTATTTGTCAGAAAGTGCTGTGGTTCATTAAGATGAAAATATTCACACCCATGTTATGCTTTAAAATTTATCACAAAGAACAAAGGCCTTTTCCCTTGTGATGCTTTTTTCAAAGGCCATATCATTCCAGTCTTTCTCTAATCATCCTGAACTTTACCATTTCTGGTGCTAATTAAAGCCTGTGGAGTCTTTCAGAAAGCTTTTGACCTCATTTCCGATTTGCTGTGAATAGCTTGGCTCTTCAATACAATAAAAAAAGCTACTTAGAAACTTCC